TCTCCTTGAGGACTAAGGTGCGCCTGACACAAGCCATGATATTTCCAATTGCCTCATATGCAAGTGAGAGCTGGACAATGAATAAGGAAGACTGAAGAAGAGTTGATGCTTTTGAGTTGTGGTGCTGGCAAAGAATGCTGAAAGTACCATGGACTGCTAAAAGAACTAACAGATCTGTCCTGGAGGGAAGTGCACCCGAAATGCTCCTTGGAAGCAAGAATGGCCAGACTTCATCTCACCTACTTTGGTCATGTTGTCAAAAGGGACCATTCCCTGGAGAAGGATGTCATGCTTGGTAGGGTGGAGGATCGATGAAAAAGGGGGAGGCCTTCAACAAGATGGATTGACACAGTGGCTGCGATGATGGGCTCAAGTATAGCAGGGATCATGGAGCTGGCACAGGATCGGGCAGTGTTTCGTTCTGCTGTGCATTGGGTTGCTGTGAGTCAGAAACGACTCGATGGCACCTAACAACAACAGCAGCAATTAAACACCTAGTTTATTTTTTTGATTAAATACTTAATTCGCTTTAAAAACTCACTGCCATAGAGTCCCTTTGGATTTCTGAGGTGGTAAATCTTTACAGAAGTAGATTACTCAGCCTTCCTTCTGCAGAGTTGCTGGTGAGTTTGAACAGTTAACCTTCTGGTTAGCAGTCAAATGCGTTAGATAATTAAACCAAACCTACTGCCATAGAGTCAGAACTGATTCATAGCAGCCCCCCCTTGGGTTTCCAAGGCAGTATCACTACAGAAGTAGATTGCGCAACCTTCCTAATAAGGAGGATGAAAAACAGAAAAATAAACCACTACGCACAGTTTTAGATGAAAGCTTGGAAGCTTCTACACTTTTTTTTTTTTTTTTTTAAATCAATTTAATCTGAGTCTTAGAATTTTTCAGGAATCAAGAACGTAGATGCAACTGAGGGTGGTTACTCAAATCCAGTTGCGTTTTTGTTGAAATTTCAGGATAAAATTAAGATTTATAACCATTTAGAAAATGAAAACAAACAATGATGCCTTGGATGCATATGTTTTTGTTTTCCTTCCTGGAGTAGATGAAAACTTTTGTTTTAAATTTTCAGTTTTAACATATGGAGGCAGTTTTCATTTGAAGTTTCTCTTGTGGTGCTCTGTTGTCTATAAATTCTCCTTCCACATGAAAGGATAAACATTTTTTACAAATTGTATGAAAAGATATTACAAGACGAAAGAAAGAGAAGTTAGAAATCCACTATTGATTAAATTATGGTGTAGATGTGCTCATCTAAGTGATAAAAAGCTCATAGAGAGTCATAAAAGTGATGTGTCCTTCAGGCCACATGGGTTTATGCCATTTTAATTTGGCAGTGCCTCTTGGTGTCATGCTAGAAGTTCATTTGTGCAAATGTATGATTTCAAACTCCATCCCTATTAAAGAATGTGTTTCAAATGCCAAAGGGGGGGGGGTTTGTGCTATAATAAAGCCCAGGTGTCGATTGGTATTTTTAAATTATTGAGTTCAGCAACCATGCATGTCATACACTGACTAAATGATACCTATTTTTACCCAAACATGGCAGCAAGTCAAGAAAGAGTTTCTTCATAAAGTGCTAAAATGTATGTTCCAAGAAAGGACTTCAATAGAATATACAAGAAAGAAATTCTTTAAACTTGTACTTATTTTTAACTCATAAATATACCTACTATTTCAATCACAGAATAGGGTACCATTTAACACTAACTCTTTCTTCATTGTTAAATTTCTACGTATATTAAAATTTTGGCTTAAGCACCATCACCGTTCCCTTTCAAAACAACTTTCATACAGTGCTTTACAGAATACCCAACATTCAAAAGAGAGATCAATAAAATAAACAGTTATAGAATGAGCACAAGATCATCCATATTATTTATTAGTTCAAAGTAAAATAAATAGCACTTGGAAAATTATCTACTTTCATTACCCTTGTGGAAGTGATGGTGATGAAATTCCCGAAATGTGGCTAGTGTCATATTCTACCTTTGACCATTTCAAATGTTAATATCTGCTGGGTAAAGTTTTATATATCCAAAGTGGATTATCCTCTGTACTTCTGCAATATGGCAAGAGATTGTCATATTTATTTGTACTCTTTGCTGACATTGTACAATCTGCTTTGTTTTAGAATTGTGTTCCTTTTGTTAAATTTTATAAATTGAAGACCAAAAGATCACCTCACTATCATCACATGTCCCATCTAGAGATCTGAAAGCAGTCTTATCCCTGCCAAGCAACTCCCTCCCTCACACTGGGATTCCTTTTAGCTGTGATGATTTTTTGCTTCAGTTTACTGAGTTCTCATATTTTCTCTGGAGAGAGAAGATTGTATAAACTTTGTAACATTTTATTATTTAAAAAATTATAAATTCAACTAAAAAATGTTGTAGTTCTAATAGGAAACTAACATTATAAGGGCCATCATACTGTATATGTAACTTCTATTTCAATCAAATTTAAATACTATCATACATTCTACTTGTGTCTATGCTCATTGAAGTGCAAATATTTGTCAACATAAGCTAACCCAACAGCATTTCCATAATCTGTGAACATCTTCTGTTTTATCCCTTTGTTTCCACACTAATTACTTAAGATTTTGAATTTATTATTTAGTGTCATTCCCTATGTCCATCCATTCAACTGAGTTATTGACCTGAGTTAATGAGATCTTTGAGATCCCTTTCTCACATGTGAAATGCTCGTCTCTATCAGTGGTTCTTAAACTTAATTGCTTATGTGAATCACCTATAGAATTTTATTTATTTATGGATTTATATATGTTTGAAATGCACCTGAAGAACTTCATTCTGTTTGGTGGCCTTGGGTTTTGACATTTGTATGTTCGACAAGTTCTATAGACTCTTGTCCTAGACTGGGTTCTCTAGAGGAGCAGAACTAGTGAAGCCATATACATGCATTATATATATATATATATATATATGTTGTTGTTGTTATGTGCCGTCGAGTCGGCCCCGATTTATGTCGTTGCAGGGGCTGACAAACCCAAAATTGGCAGATGAGATGATAAGTTGTTGGACCACATCCTCAGAACTGGAGATGAGAGGATGACCAGTCAGATGAAGGACTGAGAGGAGGAGCTTTGCAGGAACATCCATATATATCAGATGCAGGCCACACCTCCAAGGAAATGCCCCATTCAGTTGATTGGCTGCTCACATCAGATCACTCAATGGAGAATGATTACATAATATCTGTCAAACCAATGAGAATCACGGCCTAGCCACGTTGACACATAAGTTTAACCATTACAATTATTTTTAACTCCTGGTCACAGAAGGAAGGTTGGGCAATCTACTTCCGTATTGATACCACCTCAGAAACCCAAGGAGGGATTGCTATGAGTTGGATCAGACCCGACAGCAGTGCATTGCATTGTTGCGTTGGTCTATGTAGACCTGGTTCCTTCTGTGGAATCCCACAATTTGTTATCCATGTCTTTGTTCATTGTTGCAATCTCTTTTCAAGTCAGTGGAAACATCAAAGCTAGGATTTCTCCTTAGCCACATCTTGAACATGTGTCAATATTTCTTTCATCCATATTCTGATAATTTTACATAAAGTGTTGGTCCTTATTCATTTTTGTAACCATTGATTCTAGTAGCTTTCCTTGCTCTAAATGCCTTTAATACAATAGCAATTAAATAAATATTACTGTGTTTTCAAGAATTTGATGAAATCCTAATGGTAAATTTGTAGGAAAACTTATTTCTCCAGAGAGTTTTTAATTTCTATGAGAACATAACACACTGTAGTTTGAAATTAGAAGTGTTAATTTATGGCTCACAAAAGAGTTTTACTTTGATCACGAATTTGAAACCAAGTATTTATGGTTTATCAATATTTTGAAAGAGAAGCTGGGAACAAAAACAAAAAGCCTAGAGTAAAATTATTAATGGACCTTGCCAATTTTAATATTAATTAGAAAGTAAATTAAAAAGTCTTTTGTAATTTCCTAAAATTTAATTTTTATGTAAATTCCTAGGGTCATATCTATTAACACAGTGAAATTAGCAGAACATAAGAGTCCTAGAGCCCCAGGAAAGTCAGGGAAGTTTTCCGAATGAGGGGAGAAAGTTCATGTACATGTTTCCCCTTTCATTTCCACTTAAAGCTTCTCTTTTGAGCATAGAAGAGATTAAGTGGGAGACATAGAGTTGACCGAGTGAGGCTGGGATGATGGAAACTGAACAAGCCATCACGTGAAATGTAACATGAACTTTTGTCAATTGAAAGCTGTTGTGAAGCCTTCTTTACTGAGCTGTTGACCACTTGCTATATGTCTTCTGAGGTACACAGCAACCAGGGCCCTAAACAGAACTCCAGAAAAGGCAATGCTGCTCTTTTATACCTCCCACCTTATTGCCTAAAGTTACATTTCCATTAAGTTATAGAGCCAGGATATAGAGCGAGATTGCCTGCAGAGCTTCTGCTGGAGTCAACCCAAGCACAGTTGGTTGTTTGCAACCCCCCTTCCCCTGCAGCCTGCCTTTGGCTATTACACAAAATGTATCAAAGAACATTATGGTATATCAAAATTTCAGATATTGTGGTTGTAGTTTTTCCTAAGCTTCTCATAAAAGACATTGTAGCTAAAAACCAATGACATCATCATATAGCAGGTAATTAGAAAATCATAAAATCTCCAGGCTTGTAGGGACTTCTTAGATAATTTAGTTGAGTTGTAGCAATTTTGGCTGTCAGGCAGTCATATGGGAAATCACCTAAACTTTTGAGTTCCTAGAGAACTTGTTAGGCCCTCTTCATGTTAATACTTAATTCTATATTGTGCCATTATTTGTGTATGTATTTTATTTCCCACGTTCCACTAATAGTTTCTTTTTTTCCTCTAAATCCTGCTACTAATTGTTTTACATTAAAAAAAAAAAAAAAAAACCTCAGGAATAAAGTGGCTAAAATATTTCAGTATTTTAATTTTTACCTTATTTTCTCTTAAATAGGAGCAAAATTTATTGGAACTTTCCCCATACCAGATACCTACAATCCAGATGACGATAAAATATATTTCTTCTTCCGTGAATCATCTCAAGACAGCAGTACTTCTGATAAGACCATCCTTTCTCGAGTTGGAAGAGTTTGTAAGGCAAGATATGTTTACTTTATTTAAAATGCACACATATGAAACAATTAGCTATGTAAAGTTGAAGTAAAAGTTAATGTCAATTATTCACAAACTGGTAGAATAAATTTATACCATTCCTACTTGTAGTAATTTTTGAAATCCAAAAGTTAAAAAAAAAAAGATTCAAGTTTTTCAAATAGTGGAGTATATTTTTTCAGTACTTGAACTTCTGCCCAGCAGCGAGTTAGTCCTCTTTGGCAGCTTGCTGCTTTTATTGACAGGCTATTCCTTTCCAGGTTATTGTTATAGTGAGATCATTACATTGTCCTGATGTGGGGAGCTAAAAAGTTTCTAGATACTGTTAAGTAAACTTACTTTTAAATTGAAAGTAATGTAATGTAATCCCTATAGTAGCTTAAACACTAAAATAAGTATATTCAGTATTTTTATCAAAGCATACATCACATGTGTAAAAATATGTGTGTTTATATGGATAAAATAAGTAGAAAATATAGTTATATCATTACTATGTTGTTGTTGTTATGTGCTATCGAGTCGGACCCGACTCATAGCGACCCTTCCTTGGGTTTCCAAGACTGTATCACTATGGAAGTAGAATGCCTCATCTTTCTTCTGAGAAGTGGCTGGTGGGTTTGAATCCCCAGCCTTCTGGTTAGCAGTCAAGTGCCTTAGGCACTATGCTACCAGAGCTCCTATCATTACTATAGCAAATATTTATAGACCATTAATTGAGATTAGGTTCTGAGAGAAAAAAAAATGGAATAGTTAGAACAAATACATAAAATGCAAGACCTTTATTTTGAACAACATTTGAATTATTTTTTTAAAATAGTAATTGTTTTTATAGATTATAGGAAAATGAAGAGACTCTATTAGACATTTCTTTCCACTTTATGCCATCAAATTCTAATTTGAGTGAATAGAAACTTGATAGCTTAATAATGCCACTGGAATTTTTTATTTTTTATTTAATTATGTTATTATGAATTTTCTTAGTTGGATTTATCTTCACTAATTTTTCTTAAAAAGACAGACGCCTTTAGTGTAAAGGTGTTATAGTGGGAAGCTTTCTCTGGTCTTGTATAAACTTCTCATTTTCTTCCATCTAAACCTATTTCGTTTTTGTCTCAATTTGTGCCCTGAGGCTTCTGAAAACTTTCAAGTACAGAAACCATTATTGCACTTAAGAGTGCTAATGAAAACATAGTTTTTGAATGAGACCAACTTCTGAGTCCAGATAATTGTTTACCTACTATCCTGACCAATAATGGGGTCTCCCACTGATCCCTTCACCCCTAGGGGACAGATCCTCTAAAAGCATCCTCACTCTTTCAGAGTCTAAGAATTCACAGTAATTTCTCTTGAAGTCTTTTGCCTGGGGATGAATGGCTGTTGCTTGGAGTAGCCACAGTGTGTTAGTGTACTGAAGCATGCCTTGTAACAACAGTAGCCTGACCCCAAAATGCTGTGCTCTGGATTGCCAAACTTTGTATAAATGAGATACATTAAGTATGTCATAAGAGATTTACAATCAAGTAAATGTATTTCAAGAGTCACTTTCAGATAAACATGTATAATAAGTAAGTGTTCTATTTTATGCAACTGAGTCATAGTAAAGTGACGTGTTTAGCCTAGTATAAGTACATTGAAAGTTATTATACAGAGAAAAAAATGAAAATTTTAATTATCCCATTTATACATTTTTATGTTACAGGTTTAATATAGAGTCTATATAAGCACCTCATAAGGCATATTATGTTTAAAAGTTATGAACAAACTCCTATTCAACTGAAAAGGCAGGAAGAGTTTCAGTAAATGATTCTTCCCACCACAGAAAGCACTGAGGCCACACAGCAAGATTTTTCCATGCTTTTGTCATTGGGTAAAAAGCTAACACAATGCAAGATCAAATAAAGACATGTGATAGATGAATTTACTTAAGAGCAAAAATAAAATAGAGGTTTTCCTCTTGTTAGTGTATCTCTTTATTCAATCACTGTCTTAAGTAAGCATTATCTTCAGAATTCCTTACTATACATATGAGTTTACATGTTTATAATATTTTATTTTAAGTGCTTGTTTTCAATTTCTTAATTGCAACACACCCTGCTTATGTTTTTAATTTTCCTTAATAATTTAGGATTAAACCATGGCAAACACATGAGCACTTTCAAGTGGAGATTTCACTGACATTAAAAATGCCTTAAAATAAAAAGAGGATATGCCTACAAATAATAACAAGTCTAATTAAAAGTCAGTGATAGCATCATCATTGTTTCTCTTATATATTATTTTCACATGACAAAGTTGCTTCTGACTTTACATTGAACTTATTATCCTGTCCTGATGTTTTTTATTTTACCCCTATAGGATCATTATAATACTGCTTTTTTATTTTCAAAAATAATAACAGAATGCATAACTATAGTATGAAGTAAAATTGTATTTGATAGATATAAGCAATCAAGAATAAGCAATGATCTAAGAAGGAAGAGATCATGTTAAATAGAGAAAATTAAGACTAAACTGTGTACATTTTATTGAGTTTGCAAAGCTTTTCAGTAACATGAGAATCTTTGATACTATTTGTTCTACCAGGATATTCTGACAGTACCTATGACAGCACCTATTTGGAAATGTTTAAACTTTGTTGTTGTTTTTATCATTGTTGTTTATTTGTTTCATCTCTTCACTGCTAACTTTTGGCACATATGAAAAACTGTTTACAATTTAAGAGTTTCTTACCTCTTTAGTTATTAAGCCAAAGTAAATATTGTTTTATTGACTGCCAAAGATATTACTGAACAGGGTGTAGTGATTGACAGATAAAGGTTTAAAAAAGAGGCAAAATTACACAAAAATGACTCAAGGATAGTGTTTTAAAAAGGGTAGATCATTGCAGTTTTTTTAACCCGTTCATTCGTTATTTTAGTATATCAAAAATAACAGAATATAAGATGATTTATGTATGAAAGGCAATACACTAGACACTGGGAGATAAGTAAGACACTATACACATAGTATAGAAAGGGTAGCAGATGTATAAACAGATGATGACAACATAGTGTCATGGAGGTAGGAGCTGAGAACTCTGACTGTTCGATGAACATTGGAAAGGTTTTACAAAGCAAGTACTGCTTGAACCGAGTCCTCTAGGAGGAGTTGCCTTCGAGTGAATTCTAACTCACAGTGACCCTGTAAGTCAGAGTAGAACTGCTCCGTAAGGTTTCCTAGACTATAAATCTGTATGGGAGCAGATCAGCAATTCTTTTTTCCCATAGAGCCATTGGTAGATTCCAACTGTCAGTCTTTTGATCAGCAGCTGAGCGCTTAACCAGGATTTCTTACAGAAGGAGTAGGACTAAAATAAGTAAAGGAACAGGATAGGAATCTCAAGCAGCATTGTGCCAGTGTATGCTTTGTTCATAAAATCTTTGAACAAATCTTTTGTAACTGGAGTGCGAGGATTGTACGGAAATGAAATTGGGGTGGTAAGATAATAAGTCGTGTTCCATGTTCAGGAGTTTGAACTCTATCCTGGAGGCAATGAGGAGTTGTAAAATATTTTAGGCAGAGAAGAGACTTGATAGATATATTTAGCAACAATTTTGAGGATGTATCTGGGTGTGATTAGGAAACCTGTTAGGTGGTTCCTTAAAGACAAAAAGGATGAAGAGATAAGGGTGAATTCCAGAGTTAATACTGAAATGGACTCCAAGTGCAGCTTTCTAAGAATTCCTTAACTTATTATCACTCTTTTTTATTAATTGCTTAATGTATACCAGTGCTGCCTAATAGATTTTTCTTCCATGATGAACATGTTCTATATCTATTCTACCCAATTTCCTATCACATGGCCATGAGCATTGAAATATGACTAGTGTGACTAAAGACATTTAATCTTATTTCATTTTAATGAATTTAAATTTAAATAGCCTCATAAGGTTAGTGACTATCAGATAGGTATTGATTATAAAAAATTCCTTTATTTAACACATTTATTGCTAACCCACCCTATGCATAACATTGTGCTATAAACAATACTTCTGAAGAAGCTAAAAAAAAAATGACAAGATACCTGTACTTACTGAGTGTACAATCTAGTGGGTGAAATAGAAATTAGAGAAGAAAACCCAAAAATTAACATATAATTACAAAATGTGATATGTGCTATCTAGGAAAACTACGAAGAGTTAGTTAAGAAAAATGGATTGCTTTAGACTGGTTAGGGAAGGTCTGTCTGACAAAGATAAGATCTGGGAAATAACTGGGAAACCACAGCACAAAGATGGCAAGAGTGGGAAAGAACATTCTTTCAGAAGAGGAAACATGGGGAAATTCTAGAAGTAGGAAAAAAGCATTTAAGGAACTAAAAGAGGGTCACTGTGTCTGGACTTTAATGACTAAAGGGAAAAATGGCATAATTGTGTTTTTTTCTAATGCATGACTTTTCATTTCAAGAAAATGCATGCATTTCAACAGTCTTCAGAAATCTTATCTTCCCTGCTTACAAGTAGGAATGGCTGATATTGCAGATACTGATTCTATGATGTCTATATGAAAGGCTTCGTCAAGCTCCTGTCATATTTATAACACATTGACATATAAATACTATAAATACATGGTCATTCTATGGTGAGTTAAGTTCCAAAAATACACACACATACACACACATGCACACCTATGTTCACATACACCCCTTAAATGCTATATCAATTAACTGCTTAATAGTGGAAAAGGTCTTTGGTGGTGGTAATGGTAATGTGAGTGTGCACATTGGGGGTTAGTCAACAGTTTAGTAAGTAACAGTTACTGGGAAAAGATGACAGTTTATTAGTTTTAAAAGTGGAAATAGCAATTTCACTTTGCTCTCAGTTTTAGAAAATTTTTCCTCTGAGAGTGAATCTTATTTCTGGAAAAGGTCAAAATAATTTGGAGTCATATCTGGTAAAAGTAGTGTGAACAATTTAGACCACAAAAATTTTGGACAAAGGTGTGGA